ACACACTCACACACACACACACATACACTGACATTTCAACTACTATACGATGTAAGTTAGTAACAAATAGACGTAGACGGTGAATGACAGTGTTGAAGATTGTCAAGTTTCGAGTAGAGTAAAGATTATTGAAGGGAAGGTGGTTTGTGGTTAAATACTAGTTGTGGCTTAAGTGAAAAAGGATAAGTTCTCTGCTCAACTGTGGTTAACTTGGATTTGCATTATTTATTTGTGGCTGCTGGCTTAGTTTAAAAAGTAATTAAAGTTTTTTTAATGAATTCTTTTTTTCAGATTTTTACTTGTTTTTTTTTTTAATTTTCTGCTACCTTTTTGTAATTACAAGATTTTATTCTGATTTTTTGTGCTTATTCAAAGTTTGCTTGAATTTATTTTGCCGTTTTTTAAATGATCTCTTTTTATACAATTTCTCTGATACTCAATATATTTTTTTTTTCATGAATTTATTTTTTTTGACTTTAATTCAAATAGTCGCGAATAGTCCCTTTAAAGCTACCGTCATGACCAGCCTTATAATTGCCTTATAATCCAATGTAATTAAAATTTTTAAATTAATTAAATTAGCTTAATCTAAAAAGCACCATTCATCCGCCTACACTTCAACACACCCATACGCCTAAGCACATATACAATGACATAATTAATTTCGTGTTTGCACTATGCCTCATTACGTCATTGCGGCAATTCAAATGTTGCGTATACGACGAGGCGGCTGAACATTTTTTATTTTTTTTTTTTTTTTTTGTTGTGTTAAGGGCAACCGCAGGGATTATGACGTTTGGCAAAAAAAAAATATATTGTTTTTATGTTCATTTTAATTGTATGCTTGTATAAAAATGACAATGTAATAAATGGATTTTAATTTGGTTTGTTTATTTTATTTAAAATTTTGAAATAAAAAAAAACTAATAAACACTTCTATTGACATTTCAATTGCAGTCCATTAATTTTGAATTAAAATTTATTTAATTTAATTTTTTCATAATAAATCCATATATACACATATTTTTTATATAATATATAATTTTTTTTAAATAAGAAATAAAAATAAAATTTTTTTTCCACTTGTAAACCTTCGACGACTTTCACGGTACTTCTGCTTCTACTATTTCGTTTCCCTTTTAAGCATCGGTTTCCTTTACTTGTCTCCATTATAATCGTTTACCATTTTAAGTAGTAAGCAAATTTGCTTAAACGTACTTTCAATGAAAATCATTATGAGTGTCTCATTGTAAGCTCACTTATAGGTAGATAAGTAAAAGTACACAAAAAGATGTGAGTAAGGAGGAAAGTTCATAGGTATGAGTGACAAATTAAATTTCATTATGCAGTATTATACTTTTGTATTTATGATTATTGTGCTCATTGTTCAGAGGAGATGAGTTGGCAAAAAAGTTACACTCTTCAAGTGTTGCTAGCCGGTAAGAAAATATGAATGGTATTGAAGAGAAATGTAGAGAGAAATACAAGAATTTTTGATATTAAATAATTCTTCTTTTCTTAGATAATATTTTCAGCTGCAGCTCAGTAAAGTATTTCCCAATAGCGCCGGAAGTCCACAGATAGAAAATTTGTATACAGAGCTTCCATTAAGAAATTCAGCAAATTATATTTCATTTATTATCTTTGGACTGACTCTCCAACTGCGAATCGTTGCTGGCGTAAAAAAAATCGACACATTTCTCAGGCGGTTGGTGACTGGTGATGAAATGTGGATCATTTGCAGCAACTTGAAACGAAGGCAGGCGCGAACGGTCTCTCTAAGTCAGATTCGACGGTCGATAAGGTTTTCTGTGCAATCATTCGCTATGAGCCGCTCCCTTAGGGCTACCAATTGAAATATCTGAAGAAACTAACTGCCCATAAGCGCGCAGGAGATGATTTGGGTTGTAACAGAACAACGTCAGACTACACACATCGATTGTGACTCTATTTGAGAGGTACTTATTCATCTACTTTGTAGACCGGATTTACTGCCAAGTGATTTCCATCTGTTCCTGACTATGAGGAATGATATGAGTGGTAGAAAATTGGCCCAAAACAAGCCAGTGAGAATCGATTGGACCAATTTTTTTGCCGAATTATCTCAAGTCAATCAAGAGTCCTGGAATCACCAACTAATAAAAATAGCATTGGAGGGTCGTGGTCAGGCTTTCCTTGCCAACAAGTGCTACTTAACGTTGTAGTCTATAGAAAATTACAAATTTTAAAGTTGAATTGAGGGAGATCAAGCGAAAAGGAACATAATTTGTACTCTCTTTAATTAGTTCTTCATTTATTATAGCTCTGCTTGGAGCAACTAAGACAAATGAAAAAAGTAATGGAACTTTTCAGTTGGTACTAACCTTTCAAAGAAAGATTTTGATAATATTCTATTCATATCCGTGGACAGCATTGGACGGTAACTCAGCCATGACTTGACGAATGTTGGCTTTCAAGTATTCACATGTTGACAGTTTAACCCCCTTAGCACTGACTCTCACTTAGCCGCTGAATAGGAGTTCAAAGGCTTCAAGTAGCACAATCTTGGCTGTTTATGCGGCTGGGAAATCTCTCTCGCACCTAATGCGTGGCATATGGCACCATCTTGTTGAAACCACATATTGTTCAAGTCCTGTCCTTTCATTGCAGGTAAAAAAGGTCGGTTATTATATGAAAAAAGCCACAAAATGACATCAACCGTCTCCAATTGTCGTTTTCGAAGAAGTTAGATCCAAGCGCAGCTCCGAAGCAAAGAGCACCGGAGCAGTGAGTTGTTTTTGGTGTAAGTGACTTTCTTCAGTTGTTTTTGTTGTAATGACCTCTCTTTAGTTCAGTTCAGGACGTGAGAAATGTGCCGTCCACTGCTTGTTGTTCAAACACCCAACCGAGTTATGTAGGACAATATGAATAGTCAGCCGGCTTCGGCAATGATATGGATGTAGTTGTAAGTCCAAGTGCAAAATATGCTATAATATGCCATAAGCAAATCTTATTTCGTTTCTTCCACTATTTGGCGCCAATTGGAAATGCCAAGCAGTGTCAGGCTCTTCTCTACCTGGTCTTTTCAGAGTAGGGAATATCTTCTACTTCTTCTACCGGTGGGTACTACATCGGAAACTTTCAAAGTTGGCTCGCTTCCATTCATTCGGTTCACATATCCTAGTGTTGTTGTTGTTGTAAACGCAAAATATTTTTTGGTGGGATAAAAAATCCGTGTCGTTCCAGTATAAGAACCCGACTAACGTGGAAACCGTCGGATTTTAGTCGCCACTTATGACAGGGCGAATTCCCAACCCGCAGTCGTAAATTCCCAACCCACATGACGTAGTCAGCGTAGTTGCTGTCTCTTGATTCGTTGAACTAAGCTGTTGTTGCTGTATATCTTGTACAGTTAATCGTTAGATCGTGTGCGATACTCGCTGATACCAACTAGCAAAGGTTCCTGAATCTTACGTAAAACTTTTTTCTCGAAAGCTCCTAAAGCCGACTTATAAGATGTTACATCGTCCATTCCTCCGCACAAGAACGTTGAGGAACTTGTAGAGTTTGGACTTCGAGAGAGGACTTTTTCTTTCAATTGCCTATTCAGTCCAAAGTGAAACCTTTTAGATAGAGTGATTCTGTTAACTACGACTTCAAGGTTTTGACTGTCGACTTTAGAGTTGTGGAGTTCGGTGATGTTACTTATTGCCCACGTTCACTACCAGACCCTTATGCTTGAGTATTATATAGCATTATTGGAGCAATAACAATCAAGCAGTAAAGCCCAGCAAACCCACTACTTACTTCATTTGTAGAGATGACTGAAGAGCAGGCGTAAGCCGAACTGAATGCGCCGAGTGTGGGTCTTAGACCGAACTGAAATGGCTATGGGCTTGGTACAGGTCCCAAAAAACGCGTATGTATGTATGTACACTCTGAATCGATTCTATCCGATTCTTGCTCTTCTATTGAATTCTTGCAATGTTGCAGACGCCGATCATTCCAGTCGCCGATCATCCCAGTCAATGAGCTACAATATTACAACTGATTTTTTTGGGCTTTAAGGGGTTTATTACACTTTCAACGCATTCAAGAGGGGTTTAGAATAAATTTTATATTCTTCTTTTGTCTATATGTATATATGTATGCATGTAAATACATATATTTGTGTATTTGTTCAGCATATTAAATTTAAATAGCGCCATAACGGCGTTCAAAGAAACTTTAAAAGAAGCTCCTGGATTTATATGTACATATATACACACAAACATACATACATACTGCCATATATGTATCATAAGTACATATGTAAATATCTCTGACATTCTTGCTTCATTCTCATGGCAACTCTTACATAAGATTCCACGTTATAGGAAGCACGAAATACCTACACACATACCTACTACATACATATGTACAGCTTAACTCAGCGGCACACTGTTATATCCAATGCCGCCTTCAAGTGAGTCGAGAATAAAAGTTAAATAACCTGATTTCATATAAGAAGGCTTGCCACAAACAACAAACAAAAAGGCGAAAGAAATGAATAAGCGAAGGAAATGATGAAAGCAAACAAACAAACACAAAATGCTTATGCATAAAAATACTGTTAATTTTGAGCCAAGCAGCAGTAATGACGAGTTTTGTAATATTTTTGTATGTATGTGTGTACGCTTATGTATATGAACTATACATGTATGCCGCCCAGCATACTTTTAAGCCACAAATACAATAAAAAGAAATACTGGGAATTCTTTTTAGAGCAAACGAACATGTTCGACAACCGTTTGTTTGATATACGCAAGCGAACATGTTCGATGCAACTCCCGTAAATATGTATGCAAAAGAAATTCCGATGCAAAAGAAATACTGGTTGCCATACCGCCCAGCAGTAAACGTATCTGTGAAATACATTTGGTACATACATACACACATACATACGTGTAGAGACAAGTTTCAGCTGCGACGGGTTGTGTTGAACCGTTTGGCGTTTGCTTGTTTTTGTTGTCTACTGCCTGTTTTGAATGGAAATTCTCTGGTCGGTGGTCTTTGGCGCTGCTCAAAACTAGTCAACAACGAACAGCACTCGTGGATAGTTGTTTGCTTGCGGTATTAAATAAATTTGAATATTTTGTTTTCGAAGTAATAACCCCAACGAAAACTCGATTTGAGAATTTGAATTTGTTTGTTTGCTTTTTGGGTAATACGGTTAGGAAATACGACAATAACGCGAGTGCGAAACGGTGAAAAGTGAAAAGCAGATTTTTTTTGTATTTAAATGGTAAATGAGAAAACCAATAAACAACAAAAAAATATAATAAGAACGGAACAAATTACCTATTTAAGAAAAGGAATATATAGATATGTACATATGTACTTTGTAGGCACACATGCACGCGTATGCACATCTATTTCTATTTCTTAATGAGGCCGACTTGATTAACGAATTGATTGAAGTGATTGTGATTGAATTGTTTTGTGTGGCGAAAGAATTGAATGAAGCGTAGCTTCAATTGCAATTAGAATAAGCAGTACAACTGTATGTATGTATATGTGCATATCTATGTACACATATGCATACATGCCTACATATCTACATAACGAAAAAAATATGTTTGAATGCATTTCGAGTGCTTTTGTTCAAATATTCCAATCACTTGCTTGAACTTAAATGTTAAAACAATAAAATAATAAACTGAAATTAAAAATTTTTAAAAAGAAATCTTAAATATTTTAATGTAAAATAAATTAAAACAAAATAATATAAAATTAATTTAATTTAAATAAAAAAATTAATATAAAAAAGAAAATAAATACACTAAATGAATTAAAGAAAAAACGAATTAAATAAAAATAAATATATAAATTAAAATAATTTAATAAAATATAATAAAATAACATATAATAAAATAAAATAAAATAAAATAAAATAAAATAAAATAAAATAAAATAAAATAAAATAAAATAAAATAAAATAAAATAAAATAAAATAAAATAAAATAGAACAAAATTAAATAAAATAATTAAAAAAATATAAATAAATAAAATTATTAGATTTTTTTATTGTACTGAACTTTTACATGAATCAGCCGCTAATAGGCATTCTTTTCTTTTTAATTACTTTGATTGTTTCTTTTTTTTTTGGCTTGCCTTATAAAGTTCAATGATTTTCTGTTTGTATGTTTAAAGGAAGCGCTGAATGACTTGTTTGGAATTGTAAGTAAAAACATATTGAAATTCCATATGGGTCCTCTCCGCCCAAAAGCAAAACAATTGAACAGTGGCATATAATGCATTTGTAAAGCTATAAACAGCAATTGAAAAAAGAATTCAAATATGATCGCAGTCAAAGACAATAAATGCTGAAACGAATAGCAAAGAATGTCAGAGAATCCAACAGTAGTGGAAAGGAAAAATGCGAAAATGCGAAAAGAATGCATGCTGCAACAAAACAACCACCCACAAACATATACTACATATATACATATTTATGTACAAAGATACACATGTATATTATATACATACAAAGTTACATACCAATATTAAGCGATTAACATACTTGCAGTCGTTAAGCGATTAACATATAAACATACAAACATATTTATTCGTACCATAGAGGTATGTACAGCACTTGTGCACCAGGTCCATATACATATATGTATATATATATATATTATATACGAGTATGTATGTATGTAGGTACATAAATACATTCAACGCTAAATTATTGGACAGCCAACAAACCCACGAGATTCTTGCTCAATGTGCAACGAACTGAAGCATGAATGCTTGCAGGTTTGTCTGCTAGTTTGTGTGTGTGTGTTTGTATGTATGAGCGTGTGTACGCCTGCGGTGTGACTGTTGAATGTACAAAATCTCTGAAGGCGGCATGATGGGCATGCAACTGCGAAGATAGTTAAAAAAGCAGAGATGAAAAATGTTGTGCAGAAACAACAAAAAAAAAATATTTAAAAAAAAAATAAAAAAAAAAATTAAAAAAATATAAAAAAAAAACTAAAAAAAAATTAAAAAAATATAAAAAAAAACTAAAAAAAAATTAAAAAAAATTCAAAAAAAAACTATAAAAAAATATAAAAAAACTAAAAAAAAAACAAAAAAATATGCAGCACAATTTATGTATGTATAAGATTGTAGTTGGCAACAACTTTAAAGACAGCTTAACATGAAGACAAACAAGAAGAAGAAGATGAAGAAGACATATCGGAAATGTAATAAAGCAATGTAGATACATTTATATATGTATATATATATGTATGCTTGTATATATGTATGTCTGTTTGTATATAAAAATGTAAGTAAAGAAGACTTATTTTTTAGGCCTCTCTGCTGTTGGCATGCCTGTGCCAATGCGCAATGTGCCCATATTTACCAGCGTACATATTGAAATATATACGTGTACGAGTATTTTTGTATGCATACTTGTTTCGTTAAGCCATCGTCAGTCGTTAGTCGGTGTTTTTCGCTAAACCGGTTCTGCTCTAATCAATGAGGCTCTAATGATCAACTGCAATTGTCTGTGAAATGATTTTTATTGTTGTTATCGAAATGAAGAGTAAAGAATGGTAAAAGAATTAATATGCTTCGTTTACATATACATACATACATACATACATATGTACATGTACAAGTTATTCTTAAGGTGAGGTAGAATACAAAAATGTGGCTAAGAACCTAAAAGAACCATTGGTTTTTTAGGCATAGGAAAAAAATAATTTACAAAAATATGACATGAACCTTTTTATGGACAAGCAGACATATTTTACATACATACATACATACATATAGATAGATGTATATTTCTCACTATACGTTTGTCATTTACATACTTGAGTGTCTTACAAATTAATTTTTAGCACGTTTCCATTTATTACTCAAAAAGCTTTGTGTAATTTTCATAATTCACACATGCATACATACATACATATGTATGCATGTATATTTTTGTACGTCTCACCATTCGCGTTGTGCTAATAACTGTTAGGCAGTTATACAAAATAAATATGTACATACATATGTATGTATGTCTGTCTATCTTTACCTTGTCATAGCACTTCAGAATTTGCCCATCGATAGTTTAATGGGCATAAATGGTTTTTTCGAATTTATTTAAAAAATGTCATAACGGTAATTTTGTTAACTTTCACATTATGAATTATGACACAATCCATATAAGGTCGTATGAGTTATGATTATCTATTAATTAAAGTCTAATTAAGGTTATTAGAAAATTTAATTTTTTTTTGTTTTGTGGAAAAAAAAATTACTTTGTTGTATGGAAAGTGGTGTTATTTAGGGTTATGGTTTTAGGCTTAAAAGGGCTCACATTTAAGGTGAAGGAAATTGTTTTAAATTTTTTCAGTAATTTTCAAATTATGCTAAGCTAATTTAGCATAATAAATTAAAATAAATCTAGAAAAAAATAAAGACATTAAAAAAAGTTAGGCAAATAAAAAAATAAAGTGAAATAGAATTAAAAAAAATTAAATAAATAAAATAAAGTTAAAATAAATTTAATTAAATTGAAGAAAATGAAATATAATAAATTATAAATATGAAATAATTTCGAATAAAATATATATATATATATTTAAAAATGAAAGAAAATAAAATAAAATTAAGTCAAATTGAAGAGTAAAAATAATTTCTAATAAAATAAAATAACATGTAACAAAACAAAGTAAAATAATAGAAAATCAAATACAATTAAATTAAATAAATAAAACAACTAAAATAAAATAAAGTAAAAAAATTAAACTAAATTGAAGAAAATAAAATAAGTTCAAATAAAAGAAAATGTAGTCAAATAAAATTTGATAAAATAAATAAAAATATTTATAAAAAAATTATAAAATGTAAATAAAATAAATTAAATGAAAATAATAAGAATAAAAAAAATGAGATTAAAAAAAATGAAATAAATTATTTCCAATTTAGAAAGTATAGACTTATAAAATTCTTTTGTTACACTTCTTACACTTCTTTCCGCGTTTGGCTCCATAATTAAATTAAATTATTTCAGAACATTTGAGGTAAAAGAAATTAATTTAAATTTTTTCAGTAATTTTTAAAATATACTAAACAAATTTAACATAAAAATAAGCAAATAAAAAAATTATTTAAAATCAGTAAAATAATATAAAGTTAATTTAAACTTAATTTAATAAACGAAAAATGAAATATAATAAATTATAAATATAAAATAATTTCAAATAAAATGAAAAAAAAGTTAAATTGAAGAGTATAAAATAATTTGTATCAACTTTGCTTCCGCCGTTTTTTTTTTTCTCAAAGAATGCTTTATTGCGAAAAAGTGCTTACAGATATATTATTCAAAGTATTGTCCTTCGCTAGCGACAACTTTCTCCCATCTTTCCGGCAATTTTCGGATCCCGGCTCGAAAAAAGGAGTCATCTTTTGACGCTATCCATGAAGCAATCCATTTTTCCAATTCTTCGAAGGATTGAAAATGTTGATCTGCCAGGCCATGTGCCATCGAACGGAAGAGGAGGAAGTCAGAAGGGGCGACATCTGGGGAATACGGCGGGTGGGGCAAGACTTCCCATTTAAGCGTCTCCAGGTACTTTTTGACCATTTTCGAGCGTGAATAATACGAAAACAATGACAATTCGTTAGGCACTGTCCACACTCACTTTAAAGGCATTATCATCTATGTATTTCAACCAGCCTCAACCAGCCGGTAAAGCCACCTATCGGAAAACGGCGGAAGCAAAGTTGTACACCTGATAGTTTCCAACATTTCACCTTTTTGGTTCATTAAAAAGTCTCTGCGCAATAGTAATTAAAGTCCGAAAAATTTGTGTCCCTGCTCGATGACGTCAACGGTCGTCGTAAGCTTCTGCTCTATAAATCTCGATACCTTGCATTGTTAGCGAAGTTAGAAGATCTCTGTATTATATATCAGTTGCCCTCTCCATTCAGTGCTCAGATTCAGAATCTATATTTTATTCTAAAAGGAAATAGGTCTATACCGTCAAGATTTAAAGGTAATTTCATTTCATTTAATTTATGACACTAAACGTGTCTGTTGACAGAAATATGATGTTGCCACATTTGAAGCATTCTTCTTGGCCATTTTTTTTTATTCATTAGGGAGTTGTAAGCAGTTAAAGCTAATTCTACAGTTCGGGTTAATTAATTTTTCTTTTTAATATACATTTTTTTTTTATATATAAAAAAATCCTGAATAACCGTTGAATGCACCCACAGCCTAACTCACTTATCAAACAGTACTTGATGAGTGTGTCCAGCGAAAGAAATAATTTTCTGGTAAGTGGATCTGGGCAGAAAATTGAACTTACTTTTTAATCGTTTGATTTTTCGGAAATTTGGTGCGGAGGCAGCTTTGCATAAATTAACGTGCGTCCTTGTCTAGATTTTCAAGGGGACCAGTTTTCCTTCTAGAAAGTGAACTTGGGATTGTTTTACACAGGGTTCGATTTGCTTAGCATTTGGAACATAGAATACCTTTTTTTTCTTAGTTCACTATATAGCAACTATTCTATCCGCAATCGAACTATAAGAAAAAAGAGAAGCCCGAATGAACCCAGCAAAAAATCCACATTTTTAAGTTCGTTTATTTTCATTTTTTATTTAATTTTCTTAAATATTTTTTACGGCTTAGCATACATATGAAATTTTAAATCAACAAAATACCTATTTAATATATTGATATCTTCCCCAGTACCTATGAGCTCATGTCAAATTGCTTCGTGTTTAAATCAATAATTTGATTATAAAAAATTGGGCAAAAATTAATTACTAACTTCATGACGTCATCAATTTTTCACAATATTCTCTTCTTCCCAAATACTTCTGTGGATGTTCAAATAATATTTTTCTCTACTTTTATGTCTATTTATTTTCAAAACAACTATCAGCAACAGTTCGAGGTCGCTTCTCACATTCTTCTGCAGATATTTGTATTTTCAAGCAGGACAATCTATATAGACTCTGCTCCTTACAATATCCCTTTAAAATACTTACTCCGCACTGTAGAAATGTCTTTCCTCTCCTAGCCTCTTCTAGTCTCTCCTCGCCGCTTTTATCGTCAGTGCAAATATACCAATCGAAGTCAATATCGATAACAACAGTAGAGGATCTGTCCTTAACAGAAGAAGAAGAATGCTTTAGTGTGTTATAGCAACAAGTATTTTAAAATCCATATTAAGAATTTTATATATTAAAACCTTTGCTTTTCATATTGCCCTTCATATTCAGATTTTTTGTCCAAAACGCGATTGACAAGAAATTAAATAAATTAGTAATTCGTCCATAGACCTCACCAGGAATTCTAAAAAAAATTTAATTTATTATAAATTTAAAAAAAAATATCAGAAAAATTTCTCACAAATAATAGAAAATCATCAAAAATATATAAATCTATAAATTATATGCAATAGACATAGAAAATAATAACAATGCTCATATAATTACTTTTTTTTTAATTTTCATTGCAGGAAAACAGTGAAAGTGATTCCAGCGGAATAGTATTGTTTTTCAAATTAAATAAAAGGAAATAAAAAAATTAAAGTAAGAAAGTGAAAAAACCTTTATTAAAAAATATTAAATGATATTTTTTAGTATTAAATAATTTTTTGTAAAAAATCAGCGAAAAGATATCAATTAGACAACAATTAATAGTAATAAAAAAAATTAATTACACAAACAACGAAAAATAAATTAGCGCAAAATATATATATATAATCAAAACAAATAATAAAAACTCATTAAATTAAATAAAAATAATAAATTAAATATTAAAAAATATATTCATAAGTACCACATATATTTCTACATATGTACATAATTATACAAAAAAAAAAAAGAAACACACACAACCAACTCAAAACCAAGTGAATTGATACGTAGAAAAGATTGCAGAAACCAAAAATAATTTTATTCATAACTCCGCGTTTAAAATTTAAACAAAAGCATAAAGAATTCCTTTTCAGTGAAATTCAAGCCAATCAAAAATAAAATAAAATACAAAAACAGCAAATAAAGCGAAAAAATGCTCGTCACCTCGAACAACAACAGTGCAAACAGCAACAACAGCTATAATAAGCATACCAACAACAGCGGCAGCAACAGTAACCACAGCATGACTACAACAAACTCCACATCAACGTCCACACCCACACCCGGCTGCTCGTCGACTTCATCCAATCACACACTATTGGAACCCACAGCTGCATGGGCCCAACTGCCCAATCTAGGCAACTCATCGTCGTCCTCCTTAGCAGCGGCCGCTGTTGGTGGCGGCGGTCCGTGCAGTTCACGTCCACCATCACGTGCGCCCTCAATTTTGGATAGCCCCACCTTGGCGCGGGTGGAACGTGCTCGCTTACGGCTTGAAGCTACAACGCTGCATCAACAACAACAACAACACAATCACCATCATATGTATACGAACGGCAGTAGTAGTGGTAGTAATGCAACAACGCTGAATAGGGAGGGCAGTTTGGAGCGAAGCATATTGGATCCGAAGGTAAGTGTTGTGGTGGGGGGTAAACCGGGTTTGCATGTGTTGCTTTGTTTGGTAGAATTTTTGCAAATTAATTCTAAGTTTAAAGAGATAGTATAAGTAAAATAATGTTATTTATTATTTATTAAGAAATTTTTTCGATAGTTTTGCCGAAAAAATGGAAGAAAGAAAATAAAATAAAATAAATTAAAATAAAATAATANTAAAATAAAAAAAAATAAAATAAAAAAACGTTGATATATTGTACTTTTTAGAATGAAATATAATAAAATAAAATAATAAATAACACTATGACATAAAGTAAAATAAAGAAAAAATTAAAAAAAAAAAATTAAAATATAAAATATAAAAAAAAGATAAAATAATATAAAGTAAAATAAAATGAAATAAAAGATATGGAATAAAATAAGAAAAAAACTAAAATAAGCTAATAAGTAAAAAAAAAAAATTAAATTATATTAAAAAATGTACAAAAATAGTATAAAATGAAATAACAAGAAAATAAAAATAAATTTAAAATAAATAACATAAATTAAGAAACATTGAACAATATTAAACTAAATAAGGTATAAAACATGAAGAAAAAATTAAATTTAAAAAAAATTTAATTGATACAAAATAAAAAAAAAATTAAGCAAAATTAAGTAAAATAAGTATGAAATGAAATCAATGAAATTGACATTACTTAATTACTAATTCATTAATAATAACACGAAGAGGAAGCAAATTTTTCATTGTCAAATTTCATATACAACAACAATTTCATGCATATAGGACGCAGAAAATAAAGAAGTGGTCTAAAATACATATATGTATGCACAAGTGTAAATACGTGCATATGAAGAAAAAAACACAAACATTAAACTGAAAAAAAATTAAATAAAAATAAATTTAAATATCATTTTCGCAGCCAACTGGCGTTTGCTATTAAACGAATGTTAAATATTTATGAAAAAAAAACGTAATAAAATGTTTTGGCATAAAAAAAACTAGATAAACATTTTATGCTAAGCACCGGTTTACGCCACGTACGTATGGCCTACAAACCCTGCAGGAAAAGCTACTTGTTGTTTACTACATCGAACGTTATGAGTTTTGTTTGACATTTATCAAAATTTCCCTCGTTTTTAACCGGTCGATATTTTGGGTATATTAAATTGATGCGAAATCATCACCTACATACTAGTTAAATACTAGTTAATTAGGCATGTACAGTACACACCTCGCAGAACTGAAAATAAATTTGCTTATAGAAAGATTTGAATCTTAAATATTTAAAATATATATTTTGAAGCGACAATGAACTAATCTCTTTGTTCTCGAAGCCGAAGAAGTAAAAACTCTGAAAAATTTAATTTAACGCTCTATAGACGAAAAGATATTTTCAGCAAAGAGCGAATTAATCTTCATGCTTATTGGGTCTGCTCTTGTAGAGTACTCACATGCATTTCTACATATCTATAAATTTGTATATCTCCACGATTTATTTATTCTTTTTTTTTTTGTTATAAAAACTAGTCTATGCCCCTGTATTTGGTGCGCTAGTAAACAATGAAGAGAAAAATAACATAATATAAACATTCTCGCAACCCGGCTGTATGTATGGCGCTCAATCTACGTATGCACGAATATGTAGTGCAAAACAATGTGAGTCAGTGTGCCAAATGGTCATACTCTGAACGTAGCATAAAAAAAATAAATAAATATGTATGTAGCTTTGTACACACATTTACGAAAATCTGCGAGGGGATTATATTATATATTATACATATGTATATACAAGAAATTGATATCTGCACATACATACATACATGTGTTCTGCAATATGTTAAAAGCAAAACAATTTGGATACACGGAAAGCGATATAATGAAATTATTTAAATTAATAAAAATATTTAAATAAATATATGCTTATGTGTGTAAATTTAATAACCATACAAATATATTTAAAAATGCATATATGTATGTATATTTAATCGCAGATAAAATATTTCCTTCTCTGACGCATTTAAAAATTATTATAATATATAATCTTCTGATAATTTTTTTCTTCGGTGGTCACTCACCCTCAATGTATATGTCTTCTCACATACATACGTATGCCTCTGTAATATTAGCATATCTTTTTATACAAATAAATGATAAGATACATATTTTTTTATCAAACACACAAATGTGGCTAATGGGAAACAGAGGAAAAAAATGAATAGAAATGATATGAATAAGATTAACACATTGGAATACCTAAACTCCGCAGTGGATAAGATTTGATACATTTTTTTAATAACATATAAATGCAAATTTCTGAACTCGTAATTTCAAGGTTAAAATTTGCGCATTTTTATCTTAAAACAAATGGCATGAGCTAAAATGTTAAACGGATATTCAAATAATAATAAAAAATTTTAAAAAATTAAAAATACAATAAAATAAAATGAAGTAAAAATAAAATAATATAAAATAAAATAAAATAAAATAAAATAAAATAAAATAAAATAAAATAAAATAAAATAAAATAAAATAAAATAAAATAAAATAAAACAAAATAAAATAAAATAAATTAGATTTAACTAAAATTAATTAAAATAATATAAAATTAAATTAAAATAAAATACAATGAATAAAAAATCAATTAATATAAAATAATAAAAATGAAAATACAAGAAAATTTTATGAAAAACAAATATATTATAAATTTAGATTGAATTAAAATTAATTTAATTAAGTTAAATTATAATAAATTATACCCAAGCTTATTTTAGTAGTTAAAGGTAATTTAATTAACATAATTAAAGGCACCAAAATAAAATGAATTAAGTTCAATTTAATGAATTATATTTGATAAAATAAATTATAGTAAATTAACCAAAAACTTAATATAATAAAGATAATTCAAGAAATCAAAATGAAATAAATTAAGTTAACTCTTATAAATTATGTTTAGTTAAATTAAATTAAATTTAAGTAAACACATAAATAAATTAAAAAAAAAACTTAATATTTTCAAAAAATGTACTTATTTTTGTTGCAATCGCATTTGGCCAGCTTTGTTGACAGTTTGTTGCTGCTTTTTTTTTTATATATAAAACGATATAAAATATTTAAAAAATATTTGCCACCAAATTGCATTTCAAATGAATGTCACATGCTGCCGTATTGCGCCACGTACGTACGTATGTACATACACACCACATAATCATGTAGCAGTAAAATCCAGTAGAGAAGCGCAAGAGCAAATGAAAAAAAAATTAATATGATAAGCAAACGTGCAACAGAAATATCGAGGCCAAAAGGGCAGTCAACTGGCACAGCAGAGCGAAACTAGCGCAATTTATTATCGGACATTTCCTCTTAATTTCTTAATATCCGCCACACAACGGCGCAGCAACTTTACTGTGGTATTTGGTGGGCGGCGTGTAAAGGGTCGGACAATGTGGCACGGTTAAGCCATTAAATACTTACAAAAAGTTGAAAAAATGAAATTAGAGACGGTTGAAATGTCAGTATGTGCTTACTATATACATATACATACACGTATGTATATATGTTAATTTATTTAAAATACATATGTATGTATTGTGAAGCTCAGCTAGTTGTTGCTGAGCTCAAATTTTTGCATGAAATTTATTTTTTTTTTACTTGACCCCTCTTTGCACACAACCTGGTGCTCTAATTTTACAAGTTAAAAAATTAAAAAGAAAATGGCTATTATGAGTTTAAACGCTTCTCGAGGGGAGCTACGATTTTTTTGTTTACTTTTTATTGAGAAAGTTTTATTTATTTTTTTTTTTCTATTTTTATTTTTTTGTTCGTGAAACTTCTGTAGAAAATCTATTTTTAATTTTCTGCGCTTTATATTTTTCCAGCTACCTTATTTTTGGTTTTATTTTCCTCAAACTTTTTCCAAAATAATTTTGCTGAAAATTAACTTTTTTTCTCTCTTCATCAAATGCCAATTTTCTCTCAACGTTCTGCTCTGCTTCACAATAAATATTTCTCTTTTCAACGCAATTTTGCTTAAACTTTTTCCAAAAGTTGAAAAAATTTTACACTTTTTGCCTAAAATGTAAAGAAAATCAAATAGCAAGCATTAATGTCGAAGCTTACATAAGAACATACACTTACACACACACACATATGTACATACAGATGAGTGAACAAATTTTATCGATTTTCTACTTGGCTAAAAGCTATGGTTTTTTTTAGCTATAAATTTTATGCAGTCGTGTCCTTGGTAGCATGGAATAAGCTAAAATGCATACATACATATACATACATTTACATATGTATTATATATATATATATATATAAACTTGCAATTCCAACCATACCTTGGTAAACATAAAGGTTCACATAGGAAATTGAAAATTGGCTACATTTATCTACACGGACATATATACTCATATATATATACAATACATATATATATTGTATAAATATACACATGTAAGCAGATTTGCTTAACTTCAATATTCCACTAAAAGCCCTCCTTCTTCCAGCCGGCAACTCAAGTTAATTCACAAACTGAATTTATTAGTTGTATTTGGCTGGTTGCCTATTCGCTCTTGATTGTGTAATCATGGTGTCCCAGTTGCCTTGCACATTGAAACTAAGTGCAGCATTATATAAACATACATATGAACACGTTTTGTATGCAATCTATTATCTGTATGCATGTGCATGTATGTATGTGTGGTTCATCCACAAATGGCTTTTATGCACGCATTAGCCAGAAGTCTTTGGGTAAAAGTTCAAACATCACAGAATTAGAAATGATTTCACAAAGCTCCACTACAATGACGAGATCGATAGCATACATGGCAGGAGAGAAGGAGCCGGGGACACACAAACATGGTGCAAAGTTTATGACAAAGCTTCCAAATAAATTAAAATAAAATAAAATAAAATAAAATAAAATAAAATAAAATAAAATAAAATAAAATAAAATAAAATAAAATAAAATAAAATAAAATAAAAAAATTGAAAAATATACAAAGATGGAT